GCATGCACCTTCATTAAGCAGTTTTAAATCCTATCTATTAGATCATTTGTGTCAATTTTAAATTAGGTGTAACTCGTGAGTGACATGTATGCAATTTAATTTGGTTAGCTTTGGGCTGTATTGAAATCTTATTTCGTAATTTTATAGTGTCAATTTTAGTACGCAGTTTAATTAAGCTAGTTTTGGGCCGCACTTAAATTGTAAATTTCACTTCTTAATTTTTTTAGAATGTTTAATATCGGAGAATATTCTTTGTAAGGGAATTTAGTTTCCCCCAGTTATTCTCCAGTCATGTACTTTTTGTAATTTCTGTGATTTATTTACTTGTACTAGTATGACAAAGTATTATTAAACTTAAACTTAAATGTGAACTTTGATGGGTTCATTGGGTGTGGAGAGAGAATTTTATAGCGTTGCAAAAATCGTGTTTACGACAAACATTTTGATTATCTGGCTGCGGTACGTGTATCGGCAACAAATAATTCATCCAGGTCTCGATCTCGTTTTTCTGACAAGATCTCTGCACTCATTTCCACAGCGGTCTTTCGAAGAGCGCAGGCGCGGTGATGCACGAAAGCGATGGATGACGATGATCGATGCTGCTGCGCAGACCGGCGGCGCGCAACTAGATCCAGTCTACCGCGCGGTATACCATGTTCTCTTCAAAGACGCGGAAGAACATGGACGAGGAAAGATCGTGAGTTCTTCAGTTTGCATGCTCGAAAACAATGACGACGTGAACCAGCTGCATCGTGGAGAGACATTGTTGCGCTACGTGTCCTGCACAGTAGACGATATTCCGCACGTGCTGGGGAAGGTTTTGTACAGGGACGTGAAAACTTTAAGCTGGACTGCCGTGGACTCTGGGAAACCCATTCACGTGCCTAAGGTGGCGACCCACTCTGGGGTGACAATTTGGAATCCTAACCGAAGAGAAGAGGTAAGAATTGAGAGCTTTAGGATTTGAGATCGAAGGCTGATAAGTCTGACCACATCAAAGGAGTACTCTGCTTTAGCTCATGTTTATTTCAGTCTTTCCTCACAAACATGAAATTTTATCCAGCGTCCACACTACGCCGTGGGAGGCGCGATGGCCGCATGGTTAGTGCGTTCGCCTTCGTAACGAACGGGTTGGGTTCGAGCCCTGGCTGAGGACATTTTGTTGTGTTCTTGAACAAGACACTTCACTCTCACAGTGCCTCTCTCCACCCAGGTGTATAAATGGTACCGGCAAACTTAATGCTGGGGGTAACGCTGCGATGGACTAGCATCCCATCCAGGGGGGAGTAGAAATACTCCTAGTCGCTTCATGCTACAGAAACCGGGATAAGCTCCGGCCTGATGGGTCACTTGGCTCACATACAGACTTTACCTTTACCTTATATAGCACTAAACAGGTACTTAAAAATTATCCTGGAATGTACTGTTTTCGTTTTGTTATCTGCAGATGTTGTCCGATACAACGCTGTTCATTACATGCTTACACTAGCACTCTACTATTATGTTACAAACTGGCAGCTGGTATGGATCGTGGATCCACCATTTTGGATAATCTCAGCGACCACGTAATATCGGCCCTTCCCCTTCCTCTCAACCTGCTGTTATGATCGATTGCTGGGCTGGGGAAGCGAGATGTTGAGAAGACAGTGAGAAATAGGTTGTTTCAAGGTTGCGTGCTGCAAGATGTGCATTGTTTCATTCCCACTGGTGTTGAGAATTGTGTTACTGACTTTTCAGTATACCACTATTAGAGGGATATAATTTTATGCCAGCTTACTGGTTCAACTCTTACTGATATTTTGTTAATGTTTTTAAAAATCTGACCACCGGTAGGCCATAGGGTAGGCCATACCCACACTTTGTCCGCACTCCTTTAAAAAGCAAAGCAAAACCAATTTTTTTAGTTAACCTGAAAACCAGTTGACATGACATGCAAAAAAGGGAATTCCTGAGAAACATTGTTTGAAAACTGAGCCCGACCAATCCACTCCAAACTTATTCACCAATTCTGACACTGGTTCCCTAACATGTAAAATGTGGAAATGGTTAAATGACGAAATGGCGTAAAGGTGTAAAGGCGAAATGGCAAAATGGCAAAATGGCGAAATGAAAAATTGACAAAGTGACGAAATGGCAAAATGGCACCCCAGCTAGGCCTGCTACAAGACAAGTACATTGTTCATCTTCAAGTGCATGCAGTCTCTGTTAGAGGTGGAGTGAAATGGGGAAATGGGGAATAACGAAATGGTGAAATGGCGAAATGAGATAAATTATGCAAAAATGACAAAGTGGCAAAATGGTGAAATAACAATGGTGAAAATAGAACAAATCAACATATATGCAGATTTCAGAGGAACAAAATTATCATTTTGTCATTTTGTCATTTTGTCATGTCGTTATTTCACATTCACACCAGAGCATCATTCACGCCAACAGGCTAACCAGAGTGACATTCAGGCTAACTCAAAACTGGAGTGCAGACTTTCACTACCACAAAAATTATAGCCCACAAGCAGGCTCACCTTTGAAATGTGAGGCTGCTTGCAGGCAATTACAATTAGTCTGAAAACTCCTGTTTATGGTCAGCACTAGATAATGTAAAAAACATGATATAAACTTATGAAGTCTGTAGCTTGCAGTCGGCATTTTTACCCTCAGTCTGCATTTACCCCTAGTCTGCATTTACCCTTAGTCTGCAGTCTGCGTTTTTAGACAAACAATTCATCTGAGAAAAATTATTCACCTTCCAAGACAGATATAGCCATTCTATTTATACGATCTTACTACCCATACTCGCGGAAATACCGAAGATACCACGGGTGGAGGGGGGCGGCAACACTCGCGAATACTGTGGCAGGGGGGTACTAAAAATCAAAACATACATGATAATGTTTCATACAGAACGAAGTTGAAGAAGCTAGCTGGGACCCGATCAAAATGGGAAGAAATAGACATTAATACAGTTAACAATCTAAACAAATCAAATATATTTAGTTTGTCCATAAAGCTTACCTGCAAACCGAGTTCAATCGCTCGCCATTGAAGCTGTCCAGCTCCCAGCGAGGTTCTTCCCCTGAATATACAACAGGTACACTGTGATAAGCAGAAAGTCCTCCATACGAACAAAGCATGGCAGCGATACACCGAAAGGCGTTAAATACAGAGTAAGTAGGAAAAAATTAACCTTTTAGTCTGCCTTTTTTCAACCTCGTTCAACAACAACATGGACGAACGGCAGATAATTCATGGTAGGCCACATATAATCGCCTTCCC